ATAAATTAAATTTTTTTAATATTTTAAAAATAAAATAAATAAACACTATTTTTATTATAAAAAATTAAATTTTTTTAGTTAAATTTCAATACGTAATTGGTATCGACTTGCTTTTATGCTTATGGTCTTAGTCGTCTTTCTGAAAAGGCAGAATACATCTTTTCTGAAAAGGAGGAATATATCTTTTTCACAGGCCTGCACTTTTTTGTTTGGGTAGAAACACATGGCCGTACTTGGTGAAGCCAAATCAGCCCCTGGTTTTCACTCCTCCTATGCCTACCACCGAGTCATTGACTCACTAGTGGCAGCAAGGTAGGTCAGGGTCGAAAAGTATTTACTTGCTTTATATTTGTACAGCAAGAGGTGAGTCAGGAGCCACTACCTATTTTCAACAAAAAAAAAAAAAGGGGTCGATGGCCGATGGGCTTGATATTGACTTGATTTATTATTTTTTTCATTAAATCTCTAACATCCAAAAATTATATAAAATACCGATTACATCCCGCACTCGGTGGCCAAATGGTCACTCATTTGCAGGGACGTGTATAGAATTAAAAAAACTTAAGATCAAATCTCAAATCTCTCATTTTTTTTTTCTTAAAAACAAAAAGATTTGATACTGTTTAAAAAAAAATAAAATACTGATTGCTTTTGAATCAAATTATGTTATAAAAGGCACCTGGCTCTCGGTGAAGTGACATTTGAATCATTTTAAAGGTAAAGCGATTGGTATCGACTCGCTTTTATGCTTATGGTCTTGGTCGTCTTTATGAAAAGGAGGAATATATCTTTTGCACAGGGCCGCACTTTTAATGTGTGTATTATGTAATTGGAGTATTTAATAATCAATATTTTTAAACAAATGCTTTTCTTTTGAACTAGAGAAAATTTTAAAGGAACGGAAAAATATTACAATTGTCATAATAGAAATTTAAATTTTAACATGAGTTAAAATATTTGATATATATTACTAAACAGAGGCAAATCAACCTCAACTCATTATATAATTACAAATCAACCCTTATTATACGGCTTACATCCGACACTCCTTAATTCAATGGAAAGGTGCTTTCGGTGTTTTAATAAGCAGATATAGACTACAGGAAGAGGTGGCTGAGGGCCGAAGAACTGTCATTGACTCACTAGTGGCAGCAAGGTAGGTCAGGGTCGAGAAGTGTTTACTTGCTTTATATTTGTACAGCAAAAGGTGAGTCAAGATCCACTACCTATTTTCTAAAAAAAAAAAAGAGGGTCGATGGCCGATGGCTTGATATTGACTTGATTTATTATTTTTTTAATTAAATCTCTAACATCCAAAAATTATATAAAATACT